CTCCGACTGGACTGATCAAGACGGACATTGTACTATGAGGGTAAATTTATATATCAAATATATTTATATACATTTGTATTGTTGGTCATAAACCCCATTTCATTTCATTTCATAAAAGATCTGTATGCACCCCCTAACCGAAACTAAAGAGCTGTAATTTCTCCATTCATTATCCTGAACTTCTTTATTGGCGATTGTCTAATACATTTAACAACCCTTAATGTGAGACACCTTAATTTAACAACATCTCGGGACTGTTTTTCTTTCTACGTTCGTAATGTAATTTCTTTATTCGTTCCATCAGACTCAACTGTAGAAAATCGTCTTAGACAATCTATAGAGTTTCTGTTTTGTGTTTGCGATAAAACGAATCCTTTTACCAAAACATCGATATCCGACAACATCATACTTTGTCTGGCCAAGTAAAGTTTCCCTAAAAAGGAGTTGGTCTGAATTCAACACAAAAGGATTGTTTTTTTATTAACACTTAAGTTTTCGAGTTATGTATGCTATTAGTAACAGATCTAAATATTGATATGTGGTGTTTTTATAACTGTAATATCTGGTGTTAGAAAAATAGTATGAAGATGCCTCTTCGAAATATTTAGTTTAAGATAACAGAATGATATATGTTACTGAACAATACATATCAATATTATTATAATATAGCCCTGTTGATCTATATCTTATTGTGGAGCAGAGAACAATGGATCGTAGTCAAGCATCGGTTGAACTTCTTATAAGAACCCACTACAAATATTAAATGACTGACTTCAAATTTATAATATTGTTTCATCTATAATCCAGGGGGCGGATACGTTATTTGCGAAAACATTTTCTTCTTCCTTGAGGCTTAACGTCCGCTTCTATCTATGGTGATACCGTAGACAGAAGTTTCCTGGGAAACTTACGAGAGGACAAAATTAAGAGACCCGTCTCGCATAGGCCGGAGCATATTCCTAAAGCAATGGCCCGAGAAATCCCATTGTCGGATTGGCTTCTGATAACTGAGCTTTTGAGGGAGTGTGTCTATTCTTCCCGTTCAGTCAAATCTATCCCAAATACAGCAACATTGACAGCCCTTCGTTTAATCTGGGGTCTTCCCTAAAACTTTGGACAGTGATTTAAGGTATTAAAAACGGTGAAAGTCTTGTTAATCTAGACGCCCCCCCCCCCCCACACACACACCGCCCGATTGGCATTGCTACTGTTGTTACGGTAATAAACAAAGTCTCGATTATAATTAAATCTGTTGCAAATCTCGAGTCTCCGATATCATCGACAGTTGAGTATGGTCTAGGTAAGTCAATAAATGTTTAATTCGGGGTTATCAAACTCATTTCCATTCCAGGGCCACATTCACATGAACTAAAAGTTTACATCAAGTGAGCCGGAGATTTACAAAAATATCAAGAGAAAGAAAATTGTGACAAAGTGCTCCATAACTTGTATCTTATTAAGATTATATTATATACATGTAAAGTATTTATTTAAATGCATAGAACCAATCTGAACCCCACATATATACACTACATAATATACACGTACTTAATTACGGACTTCATAATTTCCACATGTAGTGACAATGCTCTTGATTAAATAGAACTTGTACAGTCCGCCATACGAGGAGCAGAGACTTGCGTATGGACTCACCCGAATGGTTGTCTATTAATGCACCGTGTTAATGTTATTCTTTCCTGGTGTAGTCTAATTCCTGTTTAATTTATGTTCCTGTTGTATTTATGTAGCTGTTTTATATTCTGTTCCCGATCAATCTGATTAAAACGCGGGTCCTATTTCATTTCGTTCAAAATTTCGTTTTACTACACTAGGGTCTGGAAAAATTGGTATATAAACCGTGTTCTGGTTGATGAGGGAGCAGCCAATGAAACGGTATGTTGCAGCGAGTTCTTGGCGTGCGATGCACTTAACCGTGGGTATCCTACTAGAAACATCAACGCTGATATCTATGACATACAGTACAGAAGTCAGAGTTTTACTGAAAACGAAAGCATCAATAAAAGATTTCCACCGCGATTTTCCAAGAATTATCGACACGTTGAAATTTGTTCCACGGGTCATATTTAAACCATTGGCGGGTCGGATCTGGTCCGGGGGCCGCATGTTTGACACCCTTGTCTAATTAATAATTTATATAACATAAAGGCATAACATTAAGGCATAATGAAAGACCTGCAATAGGCTGATTTAGCTCTCGAATAAGCCCCTTTAATGTTGGCATAATAGGAAATTTAAACTCTCTTGTTTTCAGAAAGAAAATGTTATTCCATACTTCTGGAGGGTATAAGTGGGTGGGATTGCTTGAAACATACTGTTTTGAATATACAATTATGTAAGATTTAAGAGCTATAATAGTTCCAAAATAAATAATGAAAAATGAATATGTTGAAAGTTTCATTCAAATTACTTTATTCTGTGTTAAGTTATGTCTGTTTGAAGATATAGCGTAACTTGTTCATTATTGTAGCAACGGCACTTGACAAATGAGACTGTCCATTTTATCGTTAAATAGTTAGTCCCACGGATTAAATCTCGGCCATGCGATAGTCTAGAGAGTTGGTTATAGGCTTGTCATGTTAATAAATATTTTAATAATAATTTATATAATATTTGAAGCCATTTTTTTTGCAAAAGAAAGACCTACAATAGCATTAACTTGTTGTCCATGAAATACAACTCCGTCTAAAGAATCCGGCTTTGTCATCATTCGGTTATAATAAAGATAAATTTATTTTCAACGTCGGTTACCTTTAAGAAGAGTGAACGGGACTGGAAATCTTAGATAATATCTTAAGATTGAATTTGAATTGTGACAATATTAAAATACCCATACAATCAATAGAGCTTTTCAATGGGAATTGTTTTTATTTTTATGTGATTGGTTTGAACCAATGTCACCCTGGAGTTAATCGAGCCTGGTTACGTCAATTTAACATGTAAGTCAATCTATGAATAGATATAGACGTTTAGAGTACGGGTCTACGTTTAAGTTTAAAGTACGAAGAATATATTTATAAAGTTTAGTGACCACTCGCGTAAAATATATTTCTTGACATGCGCAGACGACCCTCCTGAGAGGGTATATTGCCAGTGTTGTGGGCATCTCTCATGAGATCCCGGTTTTGGCCAAGAAAGTTCATAAGGATTTTCTGACGTGGTTTCCCCTTATCATTAGTTCAGAACGGAGGGCCTTGCAAGGACAGTTTTCTAGACGTTTAAAGGAGACGAAAAATCGAGGTCCTGTGTACACATTGGCATACACATAAAATAACCCTTGGCAGTTGGAATTCGATATAAGAGTAGGTCGTAGCAAAACTTTATTCATAGTAAACTGTGTGGCATATACCCGTCTTCATTAGCCCAGTCAGAGCAGAACAGAAGGACGTTAAACACCACTTCATTTCATTTCATTTCTCATGAGAGTGTTGAGCACATTATCGCCAGCGAGTTAGGAATGCCAAAACAAAAGCTTTTGACTTCGGATCAGAAACGTGTGAGATTCTTGATGCCCCGTGACAATCTGCGTCGTTTTGAAGTAGATCCTGATAATGTTTTGGCCAGATTTGTAACCATGGATGAGACCTGTTTCCAGAAATGAAAAGGGGACTAGTCGGTCGTCATTTTCCTAGTAATGATGACGTCAGGTCAGCTGTGAACGACTTTTTTTTAGGGTGTCCGAAGAAAATATCCTCCTGACCGGCACTCAGACCTGGCAAAAGTCTGTTCACTTCGAAGTGGACTATGTAGGAAAAAAAATGGACTCCATCGTCTTTGTGCAGGTCTTTCACAGATAGGCTCACAACTTTTCAGTCACTCCTTATAGCTTTGCGCAACGTGATCCGCATCCGGACGCAAGGCGATACTCCCCAGAGGATAGGTTTTCTTTATTAAAAAAAAGTAAAAAAAAAGGGTTATTTCCAAGTCATAGATATTGCCATTTGTACCGGATTCTACGGGAGTTAATTTAAAACTAAGACAGCTCACGTTATTAACACGAATAATAATCAACCAATTCATAGCCACTGAGGTGTGGTTATTGCTGGGAGAATTGACGGGCAGGGTTTGGCTCAGTATTTCCAAACGCCTCGTTCATTTGGGACTAATGAAGATCGCAAGAGGAATTCGCTTTCCGGTCTTGACTAGTTATCGTTACACATCGACTCAATGGATTTACGAATGTTTTGGTCACGTATATATGGGAACACGTGTGTGAGTGTGTAAACTAACTGCTCCCCGGGGGCAAACACATAAATGGATGGTGTAAGTAGAATTGTGACGTAAAGGTGTATTAACCAGAGGGAATATTTTCTTTCGTATGTTTAGTGCATGGTATATATTTCCCAATATTCTTCTCACTCTTCGTGGAAATGATGGGTGTTTAATATTACAAGACTCCTGTAAAGAGACGAGATATGTACAAAAAGCTTATCGTGACCTACGGGACAACGTATAGTTGTTCGGATGATACACAAGAACGAGGTCCCGTGTACACATTGGAGTACACGTAGATTATCCCTTGACTGTTGGAATCCCATATCACAGTGGGCCATAGCACCGCTGTTCCAGCATAATTTCCCTCATAGTCCGCTGTATGGCGTATGTCTGTATTCATTGGCACAGTCTGTGTAGAACCGTGGGATGTTAAACCCCATTTCTTTTCATTTATCGTGATCCGCGACCAATGTGTATCCCTACAGAATACGCACATTTACGTTCCAGCTAAATCAGGGGTGGTAACGTTTGAGAATCATGGAGAAGTTTTTTTTTTAAGTAAACGTTCATTTATAAAAACAAATGTTTATTATAAATTTAATTATTTTTTAAAATATAAATCAAAATTATTGACAAAATTGCATTATTTGTATACCCACCTTAAATTTTATTATTGTATTAATTGACTATAACACAGAACTCGTTTTATTACTTATTCATAAAAGAATCAGTTTGGATAACTTAGGTCTTTTTTATCCGATCATTTCAGCTTTGCACATACCGGTACCATAGCCAGTGAGGAATTTCCGGGGCATGGTTATTGCTAGTTGAAAACTATACCCAATACCCCCGCGCTGACGACCTAATGGTTGGCATGCACATTTTTTGCTGGCTTCTATGGAAGCTAATTTTAAACCAAAACTAAACTCCCAAATTTGACAATGTTATAATACTCGTATTTTCTTTAAATTGGACCTGATTAGTTATATTATGAGGATAAAGAGAAAGATTTCACTAACATTACGTCTGGACAAGGGTTAAAGGACAATAGTCGTGTCAGCAATTATATATATGATAGAACTAGTTAAACACGTTCCAAATATAATTTTAACACAGAGATCATTGCTACGAGAGATGCGTAACGAAGATTTGAAGAAACGAAAGTAACGAAAGCAAAAGGAAAACACGAGTTATCTTTCTATACAACTGACTGAAGTAACGAGCGATAACAGATACACGGGCGAATTTCTGCTCACTGATAATTCCTTCGAAGACCAAAAGTTGTTATATGAAACTGTAACAGGATATCTGACAATTTATAAAACGAATTCACTATCACTAGAAAAGAGAAAACGAAAACAGTAGGAAAAGTCCGTTCATTACCATGTTTTTATTAAGTACATAATGAATTAAAAACAAGATAATCTATGGTCTATTTCTATTTTTGTCACGGAAATATTGCCACTGTTGTTGGCAGAACAGATCTTAAGTATTAATCCAGTAGCTGGCATCGAATATCTTGCCACCTTTCCTTCATCAAAAAGCAGGGTGATCGGAGAAAATATAGGACTACCATCCCTTGTCGCACACATACCTTCCTCCCGATTCGCCATCTATAGTATTATTCTCATGATCATCCATATCTTCACTAATATTATCCATAATTTCATCCAACTGTTTATCGCCGTCCTTGCTAATCTGTTCAACATCGTCCTCGCCAGCCTCCTCGTCACCCTCCTTCAACACATCAACAACAGACATCTGCTTTTCAACCAAAACAGCTCAAGACCGTGGGAGGGATACTGTCTTGGCAAAAGTCTTTTCATTTACATGGTCATTGCAATTACATTTCAAACATATCGGCGGTCTACCTGGAGCCATTATGAGCATTCTTAAATTACTCATACCAACCCGTTTTTTTAAAAAATCCGAAACAACCAATGTTAAAGCTCGCATGCCATTATCCTTATCACCACCAATATCAATTAGAGTTTCAACCATTTTAGAGGATTTTAAAGTTACATACCATTTCTCTAACTGACCTTGTCTTTGCATCAAAGTTTGTATAAAATGAAATGGGGTTTAACGTCCTACTGTTCTGCTCCTATGCTGGGCTAATGAAGACGGGCATATGCCATACAGTGTGCTATGAGGGAAATTTTGCCCGGGCAGCGGCACTATCGCCTACTCTTATATCGAATTCCAACTGCCAAGGGGTATTTTACGTGCATTCCAATGTATACACGGGACCTCGGTTTTTCGTCTCATCCGAAGGACTAGACAGCTGCCCTTGTCAGGCCCCCGAAGTTTGTATGATGTTGACCACTAAAACTGTTATACAAACATGAAGGAGCATTTCATAAACATGTACATTTCCACCGTACATGTAGCCCTAAACAACCTCTTGGTACAGAAAAATATGGCGTTACACCTCGAGTGATATCGCAGACAAGGCGCGGTAGGGATATGTTTCAACTGTCATGGTTATTTAAAAGAATTTTTTATGTAGTAGGCGCGTGCGTTGTAGTCCGAAATCCGCCATTTAACTCGATTGTTACTAATTTTTGGGATTGGGAGAATTCAATTCCGGAACGTTCAATCGTGTATGCACGCTAAATGTATTAAAACCTCGCTAAAATTTTCAGAAGAGGAAAATTAACTTTAGTTTTAAATTAGCTCCCGTAGAAGCCGGAAAAAATTGCGCATGTCGACCATTAGGTCTTAAGCGCGGAGTATTTATATAGTTTTCAACTAGCAATAACCACGCCTGCCTCGGAGATTCTTCATTGGCTATGGTATCGCCACTGCGCAAAGCTAACGGAGTTGGTTGTTGTTGTTTATTACAGATTTAACGTCCAATACAATAAATATGATATTATGGACAGGGTGGGACGATTTACCCAATACCACCCCAATACCACATCAGTATCACCACATACTACCCAATACTACAGTATAATGATGTAAAATAGACACATCATTTGATTTTTTTTTTCAAAAATAGAGAGCTATTTTTGAAATGTACTTCAAATACGATACCGATGTCTGGCTGTTCCATTTGCCTCTCTATACCACCCAAAACAAGCCAATGATAACCCAATACTACCAAAATACTCATCAAATACTACCAAGCACTACCCAATATTATCAAATAACAGCCAAATATTGTCAAATAACAACACATTAGTATAATTACTGCATCGAATATTTGATATTTTGCAGACAATTAAAATGTTTACCCAGTTATCTCCCTTTAAAACCGATAATAGATTTTAGATTGCTACTCAGATTAATCATTTTCTTTTGCTTTGCAGTTGGTTTCCAAGACGGCAAACTTAAAATAAGAAAACAAGTATAATGATATACAATATTTTATTCCCAGAATGACCCATCTCTCTCTTACCGCTTGATAGTGACAAGGCTTGGGGTCGTCTGTCAAACAAGGTGGGTTTTCTCTGGTCCCCTGGTTTCATCTCACTGTTAAACGGATGCCGCTGTTATAAACACCCCTTCGTGCAAGCGAGTTATTTAAATAATATTGAACTATAGGTTAGTCCCGAAATAACCTAGTTAGTGTCGATTGTTTGTATTTATTTTAAAATTAATGCTTTAACAAAACAAATTGCATAATGTTTTTATTCATTAAGTTATTGCATATTTACTTACTGCACGATGTTTTATTTTAAAATCAATGAAATTGCACATGTTTCTTCTCAGTTCATCAAAACTGTTACAGCTCTGTCGGTTTCTTTGATAATATGAATAAACCAGAGGCTTAATTACCCAATCAACAATCTTAACCCCGTTGATTAATTGTTAGGTCAGGTGGAATGTATATTATATACGAGTAGAGCATTACACATTTGTAATAAACAGGTGCATTGTAATAAACAGGTGCAATTTCGTGAATTTTAAAATAAAACATCGTCCATTAAGTAAATATGAAATAACTTTATCGTTGACATGAAAAAAATAGATATAAACATATGCATTTTTTTTTTGTTAAAGAACATACTATTTTTGAAAAAAAAATCAAGTAATATAGTAATTTTGAATCATTATGTTGAAGTAAATGAAATGAAATGAAATGGGGTTTAACGTCCTACTGTTCTGCTCCTATACTGGGCTAATGAAGACGGGTATTGGGTAGTATGTGGTCATATTGGAGTGGTATTCGGGTGGTATTTGGTAAATCGTCCCGCCGTTATGGACAGGTTGATTTAATTAAATTGGTAAAAACACGAAATAAAAAAGCCCTTGTATAGATATAAAAACGTCACCTTAAAACACACTTATAAAATCGCTCTCGTGAGAAGAGAGGGCTGTGTCAGCTTCTCCCTTTGTCATAATAAAAATAAGTTACAACAGAAGGTCCTTCTGACTGGTTTATTATCGTCATCAGTGCGAATAGAAAAAAAAACCCGATGGAAAAAAAATCCGCTTGCTTTATTTACATATTAAAAACTGTTCGTCCAATAAGTTCTACGTGGTTAAAAGTTAGTTAAAAGTCCTTTAATGTGTATGCCTCTCCCCAGATAAAAGTTACCTGAACAGCAACACAGAACAAAGCAATTAAAACAAATTAAAACATTAATAGAAATAATACAGGACATTCAATTTTTAGACATAAATTAAATTGATTGATATGCACTGTCATTGTTAATAATGGTTGTGTAGGTTCCTATTATTTTGCCATTATTTTTCCATAATATATTATTATATTAAATCATACAGTAGACTGAATCGACATACTGTCCTAAACAATAGTTCCTTCCGTTGTAACTAGATATGAGTAATGTTCTTTTTCGCAACTAACTTAACAGTTAATTCCCGATTCTCCTATGAATTTTGAAATCGCTTCATAAATTTTATATGACATATTCCGAGGGTTGGGACGGGGAGGGGGGTGTACATTTTGAAGGGTATATTAAAATTTGGCATCTTCCATTGGCTAATAACGGTGTTTTAAAACTTCCACACAGGCGTCTTTGTAGTTATCTCCCATCGGTATAGTCAAGAAACATTCCCTGTTTAAACCCATCAAATTATTTTACATCCCTTCCGACCGGTTTCATCCTCTTTTACACAGCTCCCATGCGGTTTCTCCCCTTCATCCCCATACCGCTTGGTATGAATGTAGATTAGGGCTTAAAGCAGAAGATGGTGACAACTCGTTTTAGTGATTTGTTGACTCAAACTTTTGGCTTCATTATTAATATTCATCCATATTATCTTAAAATAGACTTATTTTGACTGCTCATAATATAGTAGTACACACACGACCATGATTATTTTACTTTCAAAATCACCCAAGCCCAACCCCATTTTGTTTATTGTCCCGAGATAAACTACTAAACACTTAAAAACACCTTTTCCGTTTATTTTTTATTTACTTGAGCACTTGAGATAAATACTATTACATTAATATTGCATTTTAATATACATATACATTATATTATTATATATAACAACAAATTATTACACACTTTGTCGATTAAATAAATTATGGTTAAATACTTGTTAAAGTTAAGTTGACAACGTAGGAATTCAGAGATAGAGTCTTGTGCGCTTACTCATTAAAAATTTAGCAATACTGATGGCCGGTTATTTTATACCAGACAGTCTTCTTGTTATTCTTATGGGAGACGGTCTTCGAAAAGAATCCACATGAAACTTTGCGGTCACAATGTATGGCGCAATGCTCATTTCGCCCAAGCAGAGTTGTCTCATCTTGTGGGTCACACTATAGTAAGACTCGAATGGGAGTATGGGTCCTTATAGTACTATCGTGTTGTTTATTAAGCGGACACTGGTGTGGAAAGTCCGTATAATCAAACGCTATGGATGCACTACTTCCTAACACAACCCACCCATAAATATGACACACGAGCGCTATTTGTCAATTCGGAATGATGTATTATTTACGAATGTCATTAAATGTGTGTATTATTTACGAATGCCATTAAATGTTTGTCTGTCATAGTTCATTTTCATGAGATCACCGAGTAGTCGGTTCTGTCCGTGACTTCTAGATCTATAACTGGATTTTCTTAACTTGGGAATTTCTAAGTTGTTGATATCGATACAGACGTTGATATACATGTGATCAAATATATCTTCCTCGATTTCCTCTTCCTCGATAAGATCACGGTGTTGTCTTTCCTTGATTATATTAGATGACGTAGTTTCTCTACTGACATTTGGTTGATGGGGTTGTTTTTCCTTGGTATGTGAGTTAGGGGATGACGTAGCTTCTCGGCTGGGCTTCGGTCGATTGGAGATTTTCAGAGGCGATAAATAATCGGAGTGTGGTTTCTGTAACGTTTTAGTTTTTCTGGTATTGATGGCGCTCTGGGTTCTTTTAATGACCTTGCATCCCATTTTAGGTGTTAGTGATGGAGAGTTGGGTAGTCGACAGGGAATCTGCGGAGCTGGAGAGTAGATAGGAGATATAACGACATCATCATCATCTGTCTCATAATAACCACTACTGCTACTGTCGTCTGCAAATACAACAGCCTTGTGGATGTTACCAATACGGGCTCCAAAACCACTCCGTTTTGCGTTCTCCGATCGGGATCTCTGGAGACTAGACTGACTGTCTTTAAAGTCGTATTCCAACCATGAGAAATCGTCATCTTCAGTGAGATCTTTTCGTATCGTGAATGGAGGCACGGAACCATCTTCAATACAGCTACAAGTTGTGCTCGTACCAGTTCGTTGGTGACGACAAATCGGACAAAAAGATGGCGGCGAGGTATCGATGATGTCGGCGAGAGACGTCACTGCATAAGCCAAACCAGCTTGAGTATCGTCTATCTCATCGTAGATATTCTTATCTGGGTGTCTGGTATAATCATGACTTCTGGTTAAATCGCTGATACTGGATGTTCGTAGTCGCTTGCTGTGTTTTCCGGTACATTTTTTCTTGAACCATCTAAGCATGTTGAAACCTGAATGATAAACACAAAACATAAATATTTTGACTCAATATATCGTAGAACATGGGGATGCAAACAAGTAGTCCATTTAAGATACACTTCCAACTAACAAGAGGAATGAAGGGATTAATCTGAATTATTATATTCAATCCTCTGTGAACATTTATTATTAACGATAAGACGTTTGATGATGTTTGTGATCTTTACCGCCCAGTGCTGATTATACACTAAATTACTCATTAAATACTAGATAATAATTCAACAGCGCCAAGAAATTATCCATTAAACTTACAAACTTATCAATAATGCATTAGAAGTTCGATTTGTTATTAACAACAACAAACCGTACACAGCCTACTTTTTGAGGAATTCAATTCCAAATGTCGCGGTTTCGTTCACACGTGTACATACCCCGACCCAATGACTCGGATCATAAGGGGTCCTAAGGAGCATATTTGTATATCATGTTTAAATCAATGAATTTCCATATCATTTTTTTATTTTACAATATTATAACTCTATTTGATAACCAAGAAATAAGTAATATATATTGAACTATGACCTGGATTCGTAAAAATAAAGAACAGAACACTGAATCGCATACCTTACTGTGAAAGTTATGAATCTGTGTTAATCCCGATGATAATTTGTAATATCCGATGTGGAGAGTTGTAAGGCTTTAGGTAATATGATGTTATCAGGATCTGTCAGAGCTATTTAAGCTCAAGTGGGCGGGGTGATATGGGCGTGGCGAGGGACTCTACCGAAGCCATGTATACCTAACACCATTGTTCTTTTGGCTGTCTTTGTGTGGTTTCACTGGCGGCTAAACGTCCGTGATTACCTTCATGTGATCGAAAAGACTAATCTAACCG